GGTGTTCATCGAAGTGAAATTCAACAGTCCCATGAAGCAGTTCTGGACTTTTGGGAAGGTGTGCTCACTGTCGAATAAAACATCCACAAACGTTTGATCATCGCTTTTAATCTGAAAAACGTTACGAATATTTACAAGCATACTGCTGCCATGGCTCGCATATCACCAGATGATGCCAGATCCCCCGCGTCTAACACTGCTCAATTCGACAGCTCGACAGGCAAACGAACAAGTGTTCAAGCACACGCATATCACCGGCCCCTCAATGCGATTTTTCCACCTTCATGCAACAATATTGTCTGTGCCACTGGCTGCGTACTGTAGCACATAAATGAATCTCCTTCTACTGCACTCGCAGCGGAAGGCAAAGGCACTCGAAAGCAGTCCGCGCGGTAGGAGGTGCAAAGAGCGAGCAATCGCCGGCAAAACTGCCGATAAGTGATTGAGACAGCAGCAAGCAGATCTGAAATCTGACCGACGCCAAATATGCGCATGTCTTCAAAGCGAAGACAAAAACTGGCCCGAGGTGGTGACCGTGCCCTTCCAACCCTGTGCTCCCAAGAATCGACATGAAAAAAGAAACAGATGAATGAGCCCCAGGTCTTCTCCTTAGAACAATGATTACTCACACTCTTCTTCCTCATCGCGTCGCACCACGCTCCTCCTCTCAACAAAACCGACTAAAATGTTTCCTTCTAGCAGCGTTAGTCCCTTTTCAAATCTCTACCCTCTTCCCCTCCACCTTAGTCATGTTTTTTTTTTACATCAAATGGAGTATAGCACGCGCGAAACTTCCTGAACAGCAATCACCCTTTGCGCAAGATACTTTGGAATTAAATGCTTGCACTCGTCAGTCTCGTATATTTTTTTAATCCACTCGCTTCTAATTCATTCACACTTACAGGCGACAACCTGTCTGACATGAATGAAGCAGACAGCAGAAATTTAAACAAAACTGTAACGAAAAATAGATATTTTTTGGAAATACTGGTAGAAGAAAGAATAAGCAAATTTTCGAAAGAAAAAGCACGTTTACAAATAGTTTCTGTTGGGAAATTCATAACCCCGTCCTTTTGATGATCAACGCACCAAAAGCATTCACATGCTGGTTACGGAGCAATGTAGGGTGGCCGTCCCATCCGAAGTGCAAATTTCGAGTTTACACCTGCTAACTCTACAACATTTCTTCTGAGGCTGCAGTACTGGCGGAGCAGCGCTACTGGACGTTAACAAAAGATATGCCGCAGTGCCTTCACAAAGATAACAATATCCAGCTTGCCACGCGATGGCGTGCAGTTCTGCAGAATTTATGGCAATAAAAAATGTGTCGTACTTTGACTATTCTTTCCATGTGTAGCGTAGTCACATTTGGGAAGCACTTCGAGAGCTTCTGCAATCCGTCAGCGCTCAGATCTGCAAGCGAATCTGATAAAAAAACGCCAGCTTTCGCCCACCCCTTCTTTAATTTTCACCATTTACTAAAGTAAAAATTTTTATGGGATGGGTTGTTCACGCGTGTGGATCGCTGTGTGGCATGGTGCGCAGACTTGAGAGCCAATTCGATAAATGATAAGTTTTACGTCTTACTTATCAAGACGCAGATAATAGCAATAATACACAAGTCGAAACGATTGGGCTCTGACGATCGAGATGGCCTTCTTAGCAGGGGATTCAGCAAGGGGATTCATAGTCCAGCTTCGAGACGAAGGTGTCCGAGTCCCAGTAGTGTCCGAAGATTGTGTCGGCGAGAGTCGTGGATGATGTTGGTCGAGGAAAGTGAAACCGACCGAAGAAGCTGAGCCCAGAAGAATGGTAGGGAGGTTTATAAAGGCAGTAAGAACCGCCCCAAAAGAGGATGTGATAGTTTTCGGAGGGGTTGAAAATGTACCAAAATGTAAAAATGGTAATTAGAGTAAAGGGAAACGGGAAAAGAAAAAATGGAAATAAGGGCTTTTAAGGGGGTTAAAAAAAGGAATTGAAAAGCGAAGAT